TATCACTAAGTACAGCTTGCCTGGGTGACAAGATAGACTGGAATGCCCAAGGAGTGACTACATGGTAAGACTGTCCTAGTGCTTTAGGAGTTCACACTTGTTACTGGGTTGGTGAAATCTAATTATAGCCCATACAACCAGTTTAGGGCCTCTGTCCTGCTTCTGGACCATCTGCACTGTGGCTGGCACTCACGGTCATGAGTCACTCCAGACAGCGTGACATAGGCATCTCCCAAATACCACCCATTTTTGTTATCAAAATGAAATATTACTCCTGGGAAATTGTACGGCTTTGAGACCCTCCATCCCCTTTGTTACCTGAGCAATTTAATAGTTAGCAATATTTACATTTAAATTATCTTCCCTGGGCATCTGAGTTAACACGCTACTGAAACTGAATGCCATAGCTCAAACCTCTCAGTGCCATTGCTTTCTGCATGGTTACAGAACTGGGGTACACTTGGCTCACATTTCGGGAGCTTTCTCCACAACCATAAATAAAGACGGTTTATCTAGCTGAGGAGCTGAGCTGTGTCAAGATAAACACTTTATTATGAACAGGAACTGTGCACAGAACTGAGAACAAAACTTCCTACTATGTGTAGCTTCAGACTGCTATTGCCCTTCCCTGGGCTTTTGTTCCAGCTGGAAGTGTCACAGGAAACCAAAGACTCTGCCTAGAGCAGGGGCTCTCAAACTAGAGGTTGGGATCCCTCAGGGTTTGCAAGGTTATTACAATGGGGGGGGGAGGTGAGCTGTCAGCCTCCACCTCAAACCCCATTTTGCATCCAGCATTTATAATAGTGTTAAATATTAGTGTTTAATTTATAATGGTGGGGGTCACACTCAGAGGTATGCTATGTGAAAGGGGTCATCAGTATAAAAGTTTGAGAACCACTGGTCTAGAGGGTACAGGAAATATGGCATCTCTGCACTTCTGGGAGAACATATTTTATAGCACAGAGATTTGATTAAGAACATAATGGCCATACTAGACCAGACCAAAGGTCCACCCAGCCCGGTATCCTGTCTACTGACAGTGGCCAATGCCAGGTGCCCCAGAGGAGTGAACCTAACAGGTAATGATCAAGTGATCTCTCTGACAAACAGAGGGTAGGGACACCATTCCTTATCAATCCTGGCTAATGGACTTAATTTCCATGAATTTTTTGCTATTAATCCAGTTCTCTTTTAAACCCTGTTATAGTCCTAGCCTTCCCAACATCCTCAGGCAAGGAGTTCCACTGGTTGACTGTGTGCTGTGTGAAGAAGAACTTCCTTTTATTTGTTTTAAACCTACCCATTAATTTCATTTGATGGCCCCTAGTTCTTATATTATAGGCACAAGTAAATAACTTTTTCTTATTCACTTTCTCCACACAACTCATGATTTATATACCTCTATCATATCCCCCCTTTGTTTCCTCCTTTCTAAGCTGAAAAGTCCTAGCTTCTTTAATCTCTCCTCACATGGGACCTGTTCCAAACCCCCTAATCATTTTAGTTGCTCTTCTCTGAACCTTTAAAAAAAAAAAAACTGAGATTCTGGAGAACAAGATAGTAGCTTCCTAGAGGTTTCAAGTGGTGTATGGGCAAGAACCAGCTGTTTCTAGGCCTTGCCTATCTGCCCCTCACCTTCCACCTGGCACTTCCCTGACTTCCAGTCCATCAAAGTATATGACTTCTCTGCTGCTTTCAGCTCTCTCCTCAGTTGTTAGTTCACACAATTATCTCCACCATTCTGGACTCCTTTGCTCCTCTCTCCAGTCTTAGTCTATCACACTAACCCCCAACCATATTCCCTTGGCTCCTGCTCTGCTGAGAAAATCCCATCACCCTGCTGATTTCATCACAAATTTCTTCTTTGTGTATGTCTACACTACAGCACTGTAGCACCAGAGTGTAGGCACGACCTACACTGGTGGAAGGCGTTTTTCCATCAGAGTAGTTAATCTTCCCCTCCAAGTAGTGGTAGCTAGGTTGACAGAAGAATTCTTCTGTCGACCTACTTGTGTCTACACTGGGGGTTAGTTAGACCTAACTGCTGCTAAGTGTGAAATTTTTCACAGCACTGAGTGGTGTAGTCAAGTTGAACTAATTTTTAAGTGTAGACTGGGCCTTGATTTCAATGGGAGTTAGGTGTGTAGTGCTTTTGAAAGTCCCACCAGGCACCTATAGTGTATATTTAGGCATCTAAATACCTTTGAAAATCTGGCCCTTAGCCACCCAAATCCCATTGAAAGTGAATAGGAGGAATTGGGCACCTAATTTCTTAAACTGCTTTGAAAATTCCAGCCTAAATCTTGTGTAAAGCTGCTGTCATGGAGCTCTAATATAAGAGATTAGAAATCAGCTTCTGATCTGCTTTCACAGTGACCGAACACCTATAGAAAGAACCTTAATGTTTGTTTTGAGACATCTTGTTCAAGGTTTAAGGTTTTTTCTGATTGTCATTTAATGTGCAGAGACCACTCCCTGCCATGCTGACAAACAATGAGACACTATTGACTTGTACTCCCTGTCTATCTGTTGTCTCTTGCCTTTTACTTAGATTTACTTGGTCAGGGACCATGTTTTTGTTCTGTTTGAACACTGCCTACAACAGTGGGGCCCTGGTCTCTGCCTGGGGCCTTAGGTGTGACGGGAATATGAATAATCTGTAGTAAATCCGTATACAGACTAGGTAACTATCTTTTCTACTCTGAGTGACCAAAATTATCTCATTTGCTGCAGCAATGCCATTGCTAATATATGTACCTGGTTTAAACAAGAATATTCAAATACATTATACATATGGTGAGAGCTGCTTCTCAAGACTGAGGAAATTAGGAATGGTTTTCTTTTAAGTGACAACCATGTGCATGTGTAACTTCAGTATCACCTTCATGGACCATCCAAACTCTTGACCCTATAGAGGAGCAGAGGACTTTGCTTGGTAATAAAGTCTATCAATGGTACTTATCTGGCCCCCGCACCACTGTAGTATACGAACATCTTGCATTCTGTAATGGATTTATTATCTCAAAACACCTGTGAGCTAGGGTAGTGTTATCCTCCCCATCTTACAGATGGGGAACGGAGGCATACAGAAGCTAAGTGTCTTGGAGATTGTCATGCCGGCAGCCTGTGGCAGAGAAGGGAATTGCACTCAGGTCTCCAAAATCCTAGGCTAGTGCCCTAATCACTAGATCATCTTTCCTCTCTAACTACAGTTAATAGTTTGATTATGTAATGTATATGCTGCTTGTGGGCCTAAATCAATCATTGCTAATAAAAAGGGTCTCATTTATTGACTGGCCGTAGATGAACCCTACTGCTTGGCAAAACTAATCGCCCACTTTTTCAAAAGTTATTTGAAAAGAAAACCTACTAATATACCCCTCAGTGAGAGACTATATAAAATGGAGACCAGTATGTTTACAAAGAGGGGAAGATTTTTTGCTTTGGTGTCCTCGCTGCTGAGCAGAAGATGAACCATGTTTGTTTACTTGTGCTCCGAAGCCCCAGTCAAGATCAGGGCCAGTTTGTACTAGGAAGAAGCCATGCCTGCTCCAGGAAACTTATTATCAATTGTCTGACTGCATGTGAACACACACCTGAGCCAACTCATAGCCCAACTGACTTCAGTGGAGCTCTGTGTAGGTACATAGGTGCACCTGCATGCACTCAATTGCAGGAGCAGGACCTAAAGCCCCAATCCTACAAGCTGAACAATGTGGACAGAACACCCTGTCTGCAGGGGTTCCTGCTGAAGTCAGGGAAGTTTCTGTGCCAGCTCAAATGTCAGCCCATGCAGATCAGCTTGCAGGATTGAGGCCTAAGAATGGTAAAGTTTTCCTAAGATCCAACTGTATCAAGGGCAATTGGGGGTAAACTGCAGGAATGGAATTTGTGGCATTAAACTTTTCTTTCTTGATACATGGTGGTATTCTTGGGGCCGAAAGTGCATCCTCTTATTTCTGTTAAAAATACTGTAGTGTGTGTGCAGTTCCTGCCTGCACGTTTATTGACACTCTGGGCAGAGTTTTCTATATTGTTTGGGAAGGATTTTTAAGTTTGTCCCATAGGACAAAAATCACAAATTGTGACTGTTTTATTCTCGCAAAGCTTAAAACCTTTTGGTGGGAAGGGATGTGGGGGGATGGGGCAGGAGGGTTGGAACAAACATAAAAGTTTAGAAAACATGAGTGATGTTACCATTGTAGCCCTCAGGGTTCACAGGGAAAAGTTTAGAAAAGTGCAGCGATGTCTGCAGACAGCTCAAACAATAGTTCTGACCAACATCAGCTGCGCCATTCATCTTGGTGGAACATTAACATGGACACTCACTGCTGTAACATGGACCCCATGTATAAACTCTTCTGCTTGGGTGGGTAGAGGGAGTCCCCCTTATGCAGGACAGATCTCAGGCTTGGGGAGGGACCACAGCCTGTGGAAACAGGAATGGTAATGGGTTCCCCATCATCCCAACAGCTGGCTCTTGTGTGGGAGGCATCTGCCACTTCTATTCCAGTAAAAACAACAAGGAGTCTTTGTGGCATCTTAGAAACGCCCAAATTTATTTGGGCATAAGCTTTTGTAGGCTAAAACCCACTTCATCAGATGCATGGAGTGGAAAATACATTAGGCAGGTATAAACACACAGCACATGAAAAGATAGGAGTTGCCTTAATAAGTGGGGGTGGTCAGGGCTAACAAGCCAATTCAATTAAGGTGAAAGTGGGCTGTTCTCAACACTTGTCAAGAAGGGGTGAGTATCAGCAGGGGGAAACTAATTTTTGTGGTGACCCATTCATTTCCATCCTTTATTCAGGCCTAATTTGATGGTGTCCAGTTTGCAAATTCCAGTTCTGCAGTTTCTCATTGGAGTCTGTTTCTGAAGTTTTTTGTTGAATTGCCACTTTTAAGTCTGAGTGTCCAGGGAGATTGGTGTTTGAATGTTGTAATTGATGTCTGATTTGTGTCATTTATTCCAGGGGTGGGCAAACTTTTTGCCCCAAGGACCACATCGGAATGCAAGACTGTATGGAGGGTCAGGTAGGGAAGCCTGGCCCCTGCCCCATCCTCTCCCTCCCACTTCCCACCTACCCATCCAACCCCCCCTGCTCATTATCCCCTGACTACCCCCTGGAATCCCACCCCCTATCCAACTGCCCCTGTCTCCTGATTGCCCTCCAGGACTCCTGCCCCATATCCAATGCCCCAGCCCCTTACCATGCTGCTCAGAGCAGCATGTCTGGAGCCACCCACCTGGCTGAAGCCAGACGTGCTGCTCATGTGGTGGCATAGCTGCAGGGGAGGGAGGACAGTAGGGAAGGGGCCAGGGGCTAGCCTACCCAGCAAGGAGCTCAGGGGTCAGGCAGGACAATCCTGCAGGCCAGATGTGGCCCACGGGCCATAGTTTACCCACCTCTGATTAAGTCTTTTGCATAGAGACTGTCTGGTTTGGCCAATGTACATGGCAGTGTTGTAGCTGTGTTGGTCCCAGGCTATTAGAAAGACCAAGGTGGGTGAGGTAATGTTTATGGGACCAACTTCTGTTGGTGAAAGATGCTGTTGAGCTGCACAGAACTCTCTGAAGAGTTCTGTGCATCTCAAAAGCTTCTCTTTAATCAGCAAAAGCTGGTCCAATAAAACATTTTACCTCACCCACTTTGTCACTTGTATTCTGTGCAGGGGTAGGGACATATGGGACTTAATCCTGCCCCAATTCAAATCAGTGGGGAAACTCCTACTAAATGCTACTTAATGTAAGTGTAGTACAATTGGGTCGAGTTAGAAAATTGATTCTATAAAATTGAGCAAGTGTTTGAACAGTCAATGATAAAATATTGATGTATTTTTCCTAAAATACATACTATAATATAAAACCATATTAATTTTGAGTCCTAATTTTGAGCATAGTCACCAAAGGTGACATAAGAGAACAGAAAATACAAAATTAGACCCTATAAAGACTAATGCACATGCTTAACTTTGAGCACATTATTAGTCCTGAGTTAAACAGATCTACTGAAATGTGTAAACGGAAGCATATGCAGTAGTCTTTTCAGGCTTGGGCCCCAGTGTCAACATAAACTCCTTTTGAATCCAACTCAAACTCCTTTTCAAAAGAAAATCAGAAGCTATTCCCACCACCCACATTTCTGAAGTAGAAATACTGGAGCCTAGACTACAGAAAAGGATAACTAACATTCTGCCAAGTTTGCATTTCTATCTCTCATGCAATGTGTGTATTATACTGTAGAACTAACACATTTTGCACCAAGAAATATTTGCAGATGCTGTCAAGCTTCCAGGATAGCAGCACTTATTATTCCCGTGATTTAGAACATTCTTTTGGAGAGGAAAAAAGTAGAACCAGAAATTGCTGTTGTGAAATTAGTTTTTTTTTAAACTTTTACTGCAAAAATAACCATTTTTACAATATACTGGAGAATAGAAAACACTAGATTTTTTTCTAGATGTGCACATATATACTGTGATTATATTTATATAGATATATATAAAATCAACACACACTATATGTGTATCTATATATTAAGACTCCAGGATTGTCACTGTGGAGCCTACAATGTCTTAAGTAGTCTGAAATAACGGGAACAGCTACAAGCCTAGTTGAGAGCTACTTTTGTTTGAATCTGGTGATATTCTAATCACTGGGATTAGTAGTTTGTTACTGTCCAATTTTTGTTTTGACTTTATGAATTACACCTGTGCAAAACCACAGGCTTGCAGCTACTAATGTGTACTAATTTTGAGATAAATATATACTGATTGTACAGTAGAACCTCAAAGTTACTAACAAACAACCTCCATTCCCAAGGTAAGTCTGAAATGTTTGTAATTTTAAACAACTTTATTTCAAAAGTTTACAACTGAACATTGACTTTTCACTGCTTTGAAACTTTACTATGCAGAAGAAAAATGCTGTTTTCCCTTTTTTAGTAGTTTAACACAGTACTGTACTGTATTTGCTTTTTTGGGGGGGTCTCTGCTCCTGCCTGATTGTGTATTTTGGATTCAAAATGAGGTGTGTGGTTGAATGGTCAGTTTGTAACTCTGGTGCTCATAACTCTGAGGTGGTGTATATATAAAATGTATACATTGAGGGCTGGTCTACACTAGAAAACTAGATTTACCCAGCTACATCGCTCAGGATTGTGAAAAATCCACATCCCCATCCCTGAGCAGACCTAAGTCCCTATGTAGCTAATGCTAGGGCATTGAGAATTCTTCCGTCTATCTAGCTACTGCCTCTCGGGGAAGTGGATTTACTGCAATGACGGGAGAACCTCTCCTGTCACTGTAGTATGTCTACATTGATGTGCTACAGCTGTCCTGCTGTAGCGTTTTAAGTGTAGACATAATTTGAGTATGTGATAGAGATGAATATAGACAAGAGGACACTATTCTGAAGGAAGCTGGTATATATTTCACAGGGGCTGGTTTATATATTTATCCTTCAAGTTTCAAGGGAGAAAGTAGTTATGAAAATTAAACAAGACCCTCTTTGATATAAGATAAGCAGCTATCTAGAAGTAAAATTTTGGGGTTGTTTACATGGGGACACTTAGGCCTGGTCTACGCTAGAAAATTAGGTTGATAACTACATTGTCCAGAAGTATGAAAAAGCCACACTCCCTGAGTAGCATTGTTAATTTTACCTAAACCCTTGTGTATACAGACTAGGTCAACGGAAGGTATGTTGTAGTGTGTTAAGGGCTTGTCTTCACTACTGGGTAAACCGAAGTTACACTGCTACTCTCCAGCTACATGAATAATGTATCTGGAGTTGATGTTGTGATGGGTCTGGTCACAGAAACTCCCTCAAGACTGTCACTAGATGTGCTGGGATACCGCTGAGAACAACCCTCCTGCCGGAACAGGCACCCCTCCACTCCTGTCTTACTGAGTTAGACACTCCAGTCAGCTTCAGCCCAGACCCAGGGGTTGGGCCACACCTCTCTGCAGTTCACTGAAACTGAGATCCACTCAACTCGGGGGCTTCTTAGTTAACAGGGACTTTCCCAGCACCCTGTATTCAATCTTTCTGGGAGCCTAAACCCCAAATGAATTCACTTAGCTGTGTCTAAAGCTTATAAAGGGTAAACTCATAAACGGTCTGCCCTCTAACACTGATAGAGATGCACAGCTGTTTGCTCCCCCAGGTATGTATTGCTTACTCTGGGTTAGTTAATAAGCAAAAGTGATTATATTAAATAGTAGGATTTCAGTGGTTCCAAGTAATAACAGACAGAACAAAGTAAGTTACCAGGCAAAACAAAACACTAGTCTAAGCCTAATATAGTAGGAAACTGAATACAGGCAAATCTCTCACCCCAGAGATGTTCCAATAAGCTTCTTTCACAGACTAGACTCCTTCCTAGTCTGGGCCCAATCCTTTTCAGACCAATGTTGTGGTTTATGGCCTGGATTCAGCAATTGCTCTCACCCCCATAGTTAGTCCTTTGTCCCAATTTCTTTCCAACATCTCTTTGGGTTGGAGAGGCCATCCCTTGAGCCAGCTGAAGCCAAAATGGAGGAGCTTCTAGGGCCTTTTATATTTTGTGGGCAAACTCCCCTTTGTTCTTCTGTGCAAAATCACAGCAACAAGATGGAGTCTGTAGCCACTGGGTAAGTCAAATGTCCATGAATGATTCAGCTTTTTGCAGGCCAATGCCATTGTTTACATGTTAGCTGGAATGTTCCCAGAAATGCTCAGATGTTGATTGGCATCTCCCAAAGTCCATTGTCAGTTAAGTGTTTCTTGATTGGGCACTTACTCAGAATAGTCCTTTCTCAAGAAGCTGACCAAATGCTTCACTGATGCTACTGAGAATCAAACACATGGATATACATAGCCAATATTCATAACTTCATATACAATGATACACAGACAGCATAATCATAACCAGTAAAATTACAACCTTTCCATATAGACACCTTACTTGATCCCCTTGGTAAAAGATTTGGTGCAACTATAGGACTTTGGTTGCAACCAAAGTCCTATATGGTCACAGTTCATGTCAATAACATCACAGCTGTAGCTTAAATCAACTTACTCCTTCCACTCTCCCATTGACTTACCTTACTCTTCTTGGGGAGCTGGAGTACCAGAGTTGACCAGAGAGCACACAGCTGTTGATTTAGTGGGACTTCACTAGACCTGCTAAATCAACACCCACTGTATTGATTGCAACAGCATGGATCCCCTCAGTAGTGAAGACAAGCCCTAAGTGTAGACAAGCTCTAAGGAAAATTAATCCAAATTAACTTTTAGACTCTCCCACATTAAATACCTTTGTAGACACATTCAGAATTATATTGGCCTTAATTCAATTTTGTTAAGTAAATAAATTTTGAATAAGAGCATCCACACAGTCCTTAAATCCCTCTTTGGATGCTATCATTCAGAATTGAGGTGGTCTTAATTTGGTTTAGTTAAATTCTTCCTAAGTGAATTATTCACACTCCTAATCAACATAGCTATCCTGGCAAAACTGAGCAGTGTACTCTGCCTTACACTGGACAGGTCTAATCAGTAAAATAGTAAACAAGCCAAATTAAAAAACAAAAAACAACCCAAAACCACTATCTTGATCAGCAGGCTTTCTCTCCCCTTTTCAAGTTCCCTCACATTTAAATGAGGGGTGGGGGAGGTGGGGTGTGACTGGAGACAGTTTGTCTGACATTCAGATAGCTGCAGCTAGTCAAATTGCAGCTTTAATTGTGGTACTGACCAATAAAAGAATAGCTGTTGCAGGAGGTAATTTGAATTAGTAATAGAAGGTACAACCCATCCTAGATTTACTTTTATCTCATGCTACTGTACTGTTCAAATAGTAAATACTCTTACAGCTTGTGCATTCCAACTCTCTCTCTCTGGCAGGGATAGTCCCGACTTCTTTTTGCAAAGTAGGAGTAAGTGTCGTCCCCCCGCCCCCCCCCCACCCTCATTCACTGATAGCAATTCAGTGGAAAAGGGAGAGAAAGGAAAAGTGCTCTTACTGCTTCACTTCTTTCTCCCTGCTTGTTTTGTCCTCTCACTCGTTTCACAGCCCCTGCCCTACCAAACTGGTTGCTGCTATTTTGATACTGCTGTTGCACCACTCAGTTTAGGATCAGACCTTGTGGCAGGCACTGTACAAATGGGTATGAGGACGAAAGTCCCTGCTGCTGATGCTGCAACTGCATCCGTGTGGATCGATTCCTGCACTCCTGTGAAGCCCAGGAGCAGAAAAGGGGACTCTTTGTGGGCTCAGATTTTTGCCTGAGCAGAGCTCCTTGCAGGATTAAGGCTCAAAACCCCAGTCGTGCTGTTGAATCTGCAAAGGCAAAAGTGTCTGCCCACGTAGCTGTTTGCAGGTTGGAAGTGGAAGAAATGTGGAGTGTGATATGTGGTTTGTGAGCCATATGGGCTGTCAGGGCCCCATGGGGGAATCCTCAGAAGAACAGTTTTCATAGGAGCAAGCCCACTGATGTCACAAGAGAAAGCTCTACAGGGTCAGACGCTTACACTACAAACTTCTCATGGCAAGGACCTTATTTCTATAAGAGGTAAGGCCCAGATCCTTAAAGGTATTGGGTGCCTTTGAGGATCTGGGACTAAGAACATGACCCTGCAGACATGCATGAGCAGTTTTCTGGGACAGCTCGTGTGAACAAAGCTTGTCACGTGGGCAAGAGTCTGCAGGATTGGCCCTCAAGGGCCTGATCCTGCTATCAGCTATGCAAGGACTGATCCCTACGCGTGGGTGGTACCCTGCTGACTTCAGTACCGGTCGGCCAGCATCAATCTCCCTCCACCTTTTTATTGTGTTTCATTAAACTCTGTCTGTTGCCCATTGTCCCCTGGCCAGGCGCCTGCTGCTCAGGTGGGTGGGGTAGCGGCTGCTGATTTGCCCCCCCCCCCCCGGCTAATACCCTGATCTTCCCTCCCCACGCGGCGCCACCGAGGGGGCAATTTGGCCAACTCCAGCAATTGCAAGGACTTTTCCTCCTCGCCCGGCCGAACTCCTCTTCCCGCTCGAGGGGCGACTCTGCCCGGCCAAAGCCAGGGCAGGTCTCCCCACCCTGGTCCCCGCGCCGCCCCTCCCCCGCGGGGGGCCGGCCCCAGCCCGGGGCCACTTTGTAGCAATTAGTTTCTCTCTTTGTATGGGGGTTCCATTCAAACTGAGCGGCGCGTTCCGCGTAACCTTCCGCCAAGGGGAGGAAAATAGTCCCCAGCCCCGAGTGCTGCTGAGTTCAAAGCACGAGGTTTGGAGCCCCCTCGCTGGGGCCCCTCCGCCCCATCCCCTTCCCCCCTCTTCGAGCCCGTCCTCAAAGCTCCCCGCGCCTCCGGGGCCACGGCGTGAAACTCCCCCACTTCCCTCCCCGCTACAATGTAGCCTTGGAAGGGGATGTATCACTGGGCGTAGAGATTGCAAAACCCAACCACGTACAGCGGGCGATACGCCTCCACCTAACCTGACAAACGGAAGCGCCGGGCCGGCTTGATGGACGGGGTGGGGCGGCCAATGGCAAAGGCACCTGCCTCCCAAAATGTGGGGGCCGCCAATGGGAGGGCGCCGGAGCGGAGGGGGAGGTGGGGCCGCGGCCAGGCAGCAGCGCAGGTTGACGAGCGTCCCAGTGCAGGGAAGTGCAGCGCTGGGATGAGCCTCAAAGTTGTAGCTCTCGCCGTGCAGGGGTTTTAAAGCGGCCGCACACTGAAAGCGCCTCAGCCTCCCTCTCGCCCCCTCTTCCCTCCCCCGCCCCTAGCCGGGGGCTTTACCAGCAGCTGCTGCTGCTCCCAGGCTCCAGCAGCCCCTTCTCTCCCCCCCCCCCCCGAGTTAACTCTGCTCTCTCTGCCAGTTTCACCCCCAAATGCCAGCCATGATAGAGAAGGGCCCAGAGGTCTCAGGGAAAAGAAGAGGCAGGAATAATAACGCCACTGCCGCCACCAGCGCCAACAATAATGGGAATAATAAAAGTTTGGCAGCAGCAGCACCCAATGGAAATAGCAGCGGCAACTCCTGGGAGGAAGGCAGCTCTGGCTCCTCTAGTGATGAAGAGCATGGTAAGTCCGCTGAAGTGGGAGCCTCAAACTCGCTCCGGGATTTTCTCTGTTAATCTCTCTCACACTCTCTCACACACACACACACACAAATCAATGAAGCACGCTCTTTCTAATCCGGTCTCTCTCTCTCTCTTTGACATCTCAGCAGGAGGCGGCATGAGAGTTGGAGCCCAGTACCAAGCCGTGGTTCCTGATTTTGATCCGGGTGAGTTATTTTGTCTCCAGTGTCTCCTAAGGATTCAGCACCATTGTGTGAGTGTGAGTGGGTTAGGAGCCTCCAACGGCTGTGTGTGTGTGTGTGGCTGGCTGTAGATCTGACATCCTGCGTTTGGGAGTTGGGGTTAGTGTGTGGATTGATCCGCTGGACATAAGACTGTTTTATTGGGGGGGGTGGGAGAGGTCACTTGGTTGCATTAGATTTCTGGTAATTAAAAGGGGAGGGGAAAACCAACAACTTTTGTGTGTGTGTGTTCACCCTGCTGTCCAAGGGAAGAACAGCAACAAGGGGGGAACGTGTAGGGGAAACGTGCCTCTAGACTGGGGGGGGGGGGGGGGAGAGGAGATCTTTCCTTTTCCATGAAATAGAACCAAAACTATAGCTATAGATCTATTTACGTCCCTCCTCGCCCCCGCCCTCCCCCAGGGAAATATGAATATCTCACTCTATGGCACGGAAGCAAGAGGGATTAGCCGTGCTACTTTCTCTCCCCCCCCCCCCCTTTTCTCTCTCTCTTTCTTCAGGTGTGGTTAGTTTCATATTCATGACGATCGGGTTGGGATCTGGGTCTTTAGGAGAGTAGCGTGGCACTAATTAAAAGGACTTTCATCAGATTCCCTGGCACTAATATGAAATCGAATCCTTTAGTGGGTTTTCTATCCCCCTACCCCCAGTACTTTTTAAAAAATACACCACCACCCCCAAAACGAGACATTCAGGGCCAGAGAAAAACCACGATTCTCCCCCCCCTCCCGCCCCCCCAACGGTTAATAAAAGAAGTCTAGATGCTTTTCCAGAGGGCGCTTTGCAAACAGGGAGAAAAGCAGGGAAGCTGATTTGGCTAGGAGAGACCGTAAATGGCAGTTAGATTTCCGCTCCCCCTCCACACGATTTGTATGTTTGTGGGTTCGACCATAAGGGTAGAAATAAAAAAGATGAAGTCACAAATGCCTGTTCCTCTTTTTGAAATATATTCGATTATGGCTGTTTTAGGCAAACTAATGTGTCTGTTTTTTTAAAAAAAAATTCTTAAAAAGAACCAGTTGGTTGCCAAAATGTTCCACATTCCATCTATTCTGCTGCAGTTCTTTGTAAGCTAATTTAAAGTGGTATGGGAGAAAATTGTGAGCAAACAAAGGAATTGTAGTTGTACTGGAAGGCATGTGATTCAAACAATTTAGTATAGATGTGTCTACAGCTGTGTGTGTAGAGGTAGACTGTTGACTTCCTTAGTTTTTAAATGTGTTTTTTAATTGTTCTTTTGTAACTGTTGGTTAAAGCTAGTGGGAAAACCCTCCTACTGTCTGGAGGTCTTAACACTTGGAGTTTCCTCTTGCGTTTCTCAAACTTCATTGAATCCTCTGTACCTCTTGGCTTAAAAGAACAAAACAAAACACAGGACTTGAAAATAACAATAGTTCATTTCTCAGAACAAACCAGAGTAACTTTTGCTGTTAATTGACTTATTAGATCAATCTAAATTCTGAAATATATATTCTTGAGCTTCTCGGTGCAGAGGATGAAGATGTTTTGGGTGCCTTTTTATTTAATGGAATAGGTTGGTTTTTCTCTATTTTTTACACTGTTGCAGTCTCTACAAATCAATTAACTTATGTATTTTTTGTGGATACTCAGGTTGAACATCTTTTTAGTTACAGCATTTCATATAGTTATTTACAGATTTTATTTGTATTGTCTCTCTCTCCTGTCTTCTTCCTGGGTAGACATTTCTCCTTGGTTCTTCCGATTGACAGAATAGGATACAAGGTCTCTCTGCTCATGGAAACTCCATTTTTGGGTTGACCACTGGGGGAAGGGCTTATTAGGGAGCAATTGACTCTCTTTTTCATTCTGTAGGTCAAGCACAACATTGCTGTAACATACATGGATCCTACTGGCTTCTAGCCAAGTGTTACAACAATACTTTACGCTTTTCGTTGAACCTTGCAAATCAATTCTCTAGCTTACCTCATTTCTCTACTAGAGTGACTTTTTTTTCTTACTGCTGTGACTGAACTGAATACATTTAGGATTGTATTTATTTTCTTCTAGTTTTCAGTTAATGTTGTAGATTTACGTATGCAAAAGTTATTGCACTCATTACTGACTCATCTTTCTTCCCAGTGGGGTGGGAAGTGTATGACATAGCTGGAAAAATAAATTTAATTTACACAACTTCAGTGGAAGTTCAGCCTGAGTAAACAATGCAGTACTTAGTCCATAATAGCCTGATAGAAAGTAAATAAGCAGACTTTCATTGACTTCAATGGACTTTGAATTGGGCCCTTATTGTGGAACTAATTTTTAGACATAATTAAGAGTTTAGTGTATACTCACATCTACCTTCTACTTAAGTAGATTGGAAAACTAATGCTAATTTTTACCAAACTATCTTGATAGTTTTGCAGTTAACATTGTTCACAAAAATGTATATTTTCTCTTCTGAGCATCCCTATTCAGTTTTTAATTTGATTTTTTTTTTAAATAATAGTATGCATTCCTAAATAACTGTACTTCTGGAATATAATGCCAGTCAAACTTGACCTTTCAGCAAAAAGTGTAAATTTCAGCTATCTGGAGTCTATCTCTCTTAACCCTAAGCAATTGTTTGGCCTAGAAATTCTTATGACTACTACATTCAAACAGCACAGTGTTATAATAATGCACAATGACTGTAGGTTCAGTTTACCAAACATCCTATTTCTAGTAGGGAAGAACAAAGGATTTGTAAAACCTGCTGGTTCTTTGCCCTGGCCTATGCTGGGACTCTAGGTCACGGGTGGGCAAACTTCGGGGTTGTGAAACTGTATGGAAGGGTGAGTAGGGAAAGCTGTGCCTCCCCAAACAGCCTAGCTCCCACCCCCTATCTGCCCCTCCCACTTCCTGCCTCCTGACTGCCCCCCTCAGAACCCCCAACCCCCTTGCTCTTTGTCCCCTGACCACCCCATCCTGGGACCCTCCTCCCCTAAGCGCTCCCCTGGGACCTCACCCCCTATCCAACACCTCCCTGTCCCGAGTGCCCCCCCCCACCTCATCCACACCTCCACCCCCTGACAGCCCCATTGGGACTCCCATGCCTATCCAACCCCCCCCCCCATCCCCTGACTGCCCCCCGGTACCCCCCCGCACCTTACTATGCTGCTCAGAGCAGCAGGAGCTCGCAGCCCCACCAGAACCAGCCACACTGCCCGTGTGCCCGGCAGGAGCGGCAGGCCAGAGCGCTGGTGTGCAGCGGCATCACGGTGGGGGGACAGCTGGGGAAGGGTTGGGGGCTAGGCTCCCCAGCTGGGAGCTCAGGGGCCGGGCAGGATGGTAATTTGTCCACCTCTGCTCTAGCTGGTGCATTGGTACAAACCCCTAGTATAAACAGTGTCTCCTTACCCCTGGGTAAACTGTGCCAGTGTAAAACTGTGTGTACACTAAGGATCTGCACTATTGCATTGGTACTGGAGGCTGAAACCCAGTACAGAACAGATTTTTGCATCATGGCCATGATTTTAGAATACGGACTGTAAATGCTTTTAGCTACAGTTCGGCATTAAAGTTAAGTGTACCTTTGATATATTTATTATTAATCATGTTCATTACAGAAGTTTTATGTTTATTATGCTAGTGCCTAAAGACCAACCAAGAATGGGGCCCTATTGTGCTAAGCATCATAAAAACAGATTTCAGAGTAGCAGCCGTGTTAGTCTATATTTGCAAAAAGAAAAGGAGTACTTGTGGCACCTTGGAGACTAACAAATTTATTGGAGCATAAGCTTTCGTGAGCTACAGCTCACTTCTGAGCTGTAGCTCACGAAAGCTTATGCTCCAATAAATTTGTTAGTCTCCAAGGTGCCACAAGTACTCCTTTTCTTTTTTCATAAAAACAGAGTAACAGACAGTCCCTGCCCTGAATGCTTACAATCAAAATTAGTATAAGAAGCGGAAGTAGCAGTTCTGTTAGTCCAGTCTGTTTCTTGTGTGTGTGTATATATAAAAATACTATGCACATGTGTGAGGCAGTTATAGTAAAGAATATTAAACTAGGAAGGCTTTTCAGAACTACGTTCTGCAAAATATAGTGAAGTTGAGCAAGACAGTAACAAGATGTTGATTCAGATTTCGTAATTACATTAGAGCTAGATCAGACCAAAGAGGCAGTGAATACTGTACAACATGAAATCAAAAATTAAGGTTTCCTTAGTTACTCTCTGGATTTGCAATGACAAACTATCAAACAGAATAAACACAAAACTACTAAAAAGTGCGCAGAGAACCCCTCGCCTTTTGGCTAATCATAGGGTTAGAAGGGACCACTAGGATCCTCTAGTCTAACCACCTCTAATGGTTTAGAGGTTTTCAGTAGAGCTGGGAAAAATACTAAGACTAGAATGTATATTTTTAGATTCCTTTTGGAGCCAAAAAATAACTAGATTTCCTTCTGAATTAAAGTGGCCTTCTGGATGATCTTAAATTTTTCTTTAAAATTACAATGGCTAAAATTGAATGTGGCAAGGGCCTGATGATGATCTTTGTGATTCTTGAAAGCCAAGGACATGAGCCTGCAAATACTTACGCATGTGGAGCAATAGTCTTTACTTTGTAGCTCCTTGAGTTCAGTGGATTGGCTACTGGCAGTAGGACATCCCTGCAAATCTGGATATCCACATCCATGGTCCATTTTTGTGGATTGGATATGGATACAAATTTTGTAGCCATGCAGGGATCTAAGGACTAGGTCACATGGACAAAGTTTTGTAGAATCTTTCCTTAAATTAGTACTGGTCCCTTTCTCATCCTACCCACCCAATGGCCCAATGTAAGGTATTGCAACTACATGTTGCTTTGATAAACCAGGTCTTGGTAGCTGGACACAGCACTTGCCTCTTTTGTCTTAAATAGAAAAGTAAGTTTTTAATTGTTCCTAAGTGTGTTATAAATATTTATATATTGATGATAAGTTTTGCTGTTTGGCCTTGAGTTAATGAATACATTGAGAAAAG